CACAGTGTGCAAAATATCACTGCCGGAGGTCACTGGATTCTAGTCAGTTCCCTTTTCTTACACCTCCGGATTCAAGTGAATGATCCTAGCTATGATGGCCGCTGTAGGACAAACAGCTCTGCCCACCATATATACTGAGTGTAGGCTGTCAGTCCTTCATTTACCTCAGCTGGGTGTCCATATCTGTTTGCTCTGGAGAAGACTGTAGAACTTTGTTAAAGGAGTCTGAATCAAATTGATGAGTAAGTGAAGCTCATTTTTCCATCGTTGTTAGCTGTTATTTTTTCAGCTGTTAGCTGTTGTTAGGCAGCATTAGTGAAGCTTTCTTTGAAACAGCTCTAATATTGTAGGACACTAAACTTTATAAACTTTATAAACTTTTATATAATGTGAGAATGTAATCAAACTATTTATCAGAGAGAAAGTCTGAGTTTTAGAACACTCAAGGCTAACATTAGCTCACATAACGTTAGCGTATAACCAGCCATTGTTGTTATTTAGCTGGCTCGTTGTCAGCTAAGGACACAGTATGGTCACTTGTCTAATTTGCTGGCAATAGGTAACTGCAACAATATCGGGAATAAACAAGCATGTTTATCCATGTTTCCATGAGTTAAAACCCTGAAACAGTTCATGCTTGAAGTGAGCGTGAGATGGAAATGAGTTCGGAGAGAGATGGTGAAAATATATTTGTACAAATGTTATATGTAAATGTATAGTTTGAAACAGCAATCTGCAAACTTTAAATCAAAAGTAATTTATATGGCGTACTAGGTACGTGGCCGGTTTTTAGCCACACTGTTGGCCGTGTGTGTTGCCAGTCTTTTGTCATTTCAACACAACCTTTTAGTTAGTTGTGTTTTTAGCTGAAGTCTAGTGATTCAAATAGGATGTATTGAGTATTATGTAACAGGTGAAGCACAGTATTTGGACAGTGACACAATTCACATTCAAAGGGAATGTGCAAATCACACAGTGCACTAAACAGCACCTGACAAGAGGGTTTGAGGCCACACAAGCTGATGAATTAATTACTAGCAGTGCTAATTACTCTGCGTCTTACAATAAAATTCATCCTGCTCAAGACCGTGACACCTGAACACAAAGTCTCTTACAAACAAGTAGCTGCAAAATCAATTAAAGTGGAGGCCTCTGCTGACACCAATACCCCTGAGAACAGAGTGGAGCTGTGAAGGGATTTTGACATCTTTAGCATCTGTTAAATACAGGTCTGCATTTACAATGGGTTGATGGGTAGATAGTCTAATGGGTAGATTTTACAGAAAGGAATATACATTCCCGAAGAAGAACTTGTGTAATGAAAGCATCATCCTAAACATATTGAGTGAATATTATCTACCTCCCTCTGCCTTTCTCACTTTTTTCTAAGACAGCGACTCGTGTTGTGTAGAATCAGACAAGCAATTATAGGTTGTTTTGAGTGTTTTCATCAGCGTCTGTGTTTCTGTCCCTCTGTCACTGGTCATTAATTTCTCCTTCGCTCTGTGTGTGTGTGTGTCGCTGTCTCTCTCGCTCTCCCTCTCTCTGCCATCAGGAGCTTTTTTTCTATTCTCTTTTTTTAATATAATGAAAATCACAATGGCTGCTGCCTAATTAAATAAGCACTAATTTCAGGAAGATTAAAGCCATTACAATTAGCCAGAGAAAAGAGAGCACAAGACAGGGGACAAGAATAAAATACACTTATTAATTTGTGTGCCATTTATGCTCAGGATCTATGAAATAAATAAATAAAACATGCCTGTTTTTTCATGTGTGTTTTCAAGTCTGTGCACACATTTGCATATGAAGGACAGTATATGTTTAAAGGCTGAAAGAAAGGACTAAAATTAAGTTATGTCGTGCATTTTAATGTGATTTTATTTGTACTTTATGGTATTGCAGAATTTATAAAGAAGCAGATTTATGTACATATGTGACACAAACACATAGAAGTAGATATGTATAGAGATTTACTTCTCCGACTTACACCATATTAGATACTTTCAATTTGCAGGTGAAAAGCGAAACAGCGTACAGGCTGAAACATGAAAAACAAAAGAAATATTCTAAAACATTCCCTGATTTTTTTTCCAAGCACGTCTTAGACAAATGTTTTGACATTTTTCAAGCAATGAAATATGAATCACTCTTCATTACTCAACAGAAACATGAAACCAAATTTCAGTCGCGAGTATATCTGCCAGGGAAATGCAACACTTTGTGTGTGAATGTGTATATGTACATGCTCATTTAAACTCTGTGTTTTTACTGTTCCTCCACATTACAAACTCAACCCCATGGAAGCTATTAAAAAAAGCAGCAACTCAGCCTGTTATCTATAACTTGCAGTGAAAAGTTGCTAATCACTTTAAATCCTTTGTATAACCTAACCTTTGTGTCCTGCATATAATCATAGAGGTGTTTAATATCTCACGGGAATGGCATTTAAGGGTATTGTTTACTGCATATTGACTAAGTAAGAGCACTGAATTAAAGTGATCCCAAAATCTGAATCAGAGTCAGCCAGAAATCAATAGTGATCACTCATTACAAGCCAGAACAAACTCTTCATGTACTATCCCAGAGTTACACTGGTATGCCAGCTTTGACCATGTTAAAAACAGGCTTGCCCTACATACGCCATGAATGGTGAAAGGTTGATGTAATTATTTTTGTTTTGGTTTCCAGCGGAGCTTTTATTTTGCAGCCTTTAAAGAAAGATTAAAGGCTGTCGTAAAAATGAAATTTGGCAAGCACTTCCTTTATCTTGCAGCTGCAGAATGTCTCAAAGTAAAAATGAATGGTTTGGCAAATACTTCATTTCCTTTTCTAAACATGCCATACATATTCCCACTACAGATAGACATGGCTCGATATTAAATTTCTAATAACATTAGTAAGCTCTATGCTGTCAATATAGACTTTCAGGGCAAATTATATTTGTTAAAGCCCCCCCATGAGCCGGCAACTTCAGTGGAAAATGTGAACCAAGGATAGAGAGAACGTATAAACACACAGTCGGAAATGGTGTGGTAACAGTTTTGCAACTTTCATCATCACAGGTGTGCCGACACAACCAAGCCCTGTTTCGTATTATGTATTAAAGACACAAGACATAATATAATAACGGATGTCATGAAGAGAACAGAGACAGAGACTTGGATTGTAAAACATCGATATTACTCTTAAATAAGACCTGTATGGAAATCTTTGCACTAAAGTGATTTTAGAACCAGCCTGGTGATTTGTATGTCCACATGTGTTCCTGCATTTGAACAACAGTTTGTCACATTACCAGAAAAAGAGGCGAAATCCCAGAAAAAGAAACACTTGTTGCAGACCAATTTTTTTTTTTAAATGAGAGCACATTTCTAACAATCTTTGTTCTTTTAAACATGTCAGCACAAACCATCTGTTCCTGAATCTGTTTTTACTGGTCAGCATTTGTTTGATACAAAGATCTACACAAGCAGGGATTTTAGACGAGCCTGCACTGGGTTCTCTTTAATTTTTTACTTCATTCAAATCATCATAAATATCTTAAGGCATGTCTTTACTGTTCTACATGCTTTCATGGGTGACCTACAAAGCGCTGGGCAGGTAGTTTTAATGTTACAGCAGATAACTGCAAACGCAAAGTCTGGTAGAAAACACAAGTAGAAATAAAACTAATTCGATGATTACTTGCTGAATGATGGACACAATCTTAATGAATAATAAATAATAAATAATAAATAATAAATCGGTTCAAAACCCCTAAAACACTAATTTAAAAATCCGCTTACAAAGATTTATTTTTTTGTTTGTTTTTCTTTTTAAGTGAAAGTGAAAGTCATGTCAGGTTCGCCAGTGCAGGAACATGGTAATCATTTTTCAGATTTACCAGTTAAATATCGGTATTCAGATGTTCTGTCTTAATGCTCTCCAGGGTAACACATTCAGATGTAAGAACCAGCACATTGTACTGAAAGCAGCATTTGAACAACTTTGCCTGAATGCACAATAGCCCAGCAGACTGGTGATGATGATGGTTGATAGATATAGAAAGACAGATAACAGGATACCCCATTAACACTACATTTTCCTCGGCTAGTGTGAGAGCACAAGCTGAGGAGATGAGCAGTAATTTAGGTAATTTTGCTCTACTCGATTCCCTTTTCTTTAATGACAATAATTATCAGTGGATAACATCTGTAGGATGTGGGTGTTGGCCCCCACCCACCTCTTCCGCCCCACCAGACACCACCGGCACACTCACACACTCTCCTTTCTTGTCTGGTTTGTGTCTTTACCGACGTCTCCTTCTAAACCGCCCCTGTGTCTTTGCCTTTTTTCACATCATCAGCCCCCTCTTGTGATTTCTCTTTTTACCTTACGTTCTTTCTGGCCCTAAGTCAGTGTCTTTTCTACTAAATTACCACCTCCTCTAGTCTATTTATACACATCTCGCAGTCCTTTATAACTTTGTACTTTAATAATCTCCTCGCAGCTGATGTAAAGCTTCTGAGAAACACGCAAGCTAATGCTTCACTAGCATTTGTAAATGGAGACAAAACTTACATCAATGAATTCATCTTATTTTCAGTCAGTACCAGACAGACTATTTATTATTGCAACATGCTACAGTGCCATGTGCTGGCAGTCAACTGACATCCAAGTTCGTCTAATGGACACATTTTGTAAGAACCCATTTATGTGATTTTCTGCAATCACTTTTTTAGAAAAGCATCAGAAATGCCAAGCTGGATCTAGTCTGTATGTTGTTATTTAAATGTTATGTTCATAACTGTGAAGATGCCTAAACCAGATATGCAGGTATGAAGCTCCCGAAAGAGCGTTATTGACCCAAACTCGGAACTGAGATAAGTAGTTGCATTTGTGTCAAAGTCATTTTTTCTGCCCTTTCTCCCCTCTTAGCACTGTCTAGTGTTCCTCAATCACATTTGGAGTCAGGGAGCATTTTGCCATTGCGAAAACTGGCTTGAACTCCTACTCACCCCAGTGGTTTCTCCAGTCGACTGGCTGGCGATCCAACAATCTCGCCAAGAGTACAGAACATCTGACCCAAAAAGTCCTGCAGGGAAGAAAGGAAGGAAGAAAAATAGAAGATGAAAGGAAAAAAAGAAGGGCGGGATTGTAGACGTGAAACAGAAAGTCTACAGATCAAGTCAGATTAACCTCAGGATGTTCCACCAGATCTCGTGCCACTGGATCGTTCATGCAAATTCAAGAATTTGATAAATTCACTAAAGCTTGTTCACTCATGCTCATTCGCAAGGTCAAAGTTAACATTTGGCCATCCATACACAGTTTACATCAGCAAACTATTTCATTTTCAGTGGGAACATCTTCTGCTAAGAAGAAAAAAAAAACCTTGGAGAAGTGATGAAAGTGATCATCACAAGAAGTACTGTATTTGCTACACTTAAAATACAACTGATACGGTGCGCTCCTTTTCATAAAAGGTGATATTACTGTGATGTGCTAGTTGATGTGACATTGTGACATCATGTCCATTGCTGGTGTGAAGCTGTTTTATACAACTGAACCCAAGTAATCCAGTAGGCTATGTATGCATGATTGCATACTGGGTTAATGCAATGGTCAAAATGTTTTCCACTAAAATCAGGTCTGTTTCACACATAGGCAACTTAACAGCACCGTGAATATTTTCCATCCCACCTGTCAACAGACGTGAGATAACACCAACCTCTGTGCAACCCTTACGTTTGGAAAAAAAGATAATAATAATAATAAAATGATAAAAGTACAACTTCAACCTAAATGTTAAAACAGTCGTTTTTAATAAGAAATGGCAGCTGGAGCTCAAAATCAAAATCTTAGCAATAGCAGCTGCAACAAATTCAGTTTTATTCAGCTCACTAAATCAACAGTATAACGTGGTTACACAGCAAAAGACAAAAGGTTTTTAAAAAAGCACATCTCAACAGATCTAATAAAATTAGCACGAGTACATGGAGAATCCATTGTGTGGTTGTTTCAAAGCCGTGAACTAACCATATTAATTGCTTCTTTGCGATAATTGATTCTACATTTCTCACTTTGTAAGAGCTCATCTGACCAGACCAACATAGAACATCAACATCAACAGTTCTGCAGTTCAGTTTTTGCTGTGATACTGTTTCCACTTCTAACCACAGAGATAATGTCAGGGTTTCAACCATATTTGCTGGGTAACCACATAACCAAAATCTTAATACAAATTGTAAAACAAAGGGGAAGTCTCGATGGATAATAATAATAATCTGAGCTGAAGGAGAACTCTATTAAAAGAGCCTACCTGAACTTTGAGTCCCTCAACTTCAAAACAAAGTAGAGACATATTTCAAAGTATTTGAATTTAACCAGTCATCAGAAATTATTGTAACCCACTCAGAATATGCTCCAACCAACCTGTTGGAAACCACTCATTTAATGAACCGTGAAGTATTACACATGATGGGATAAGAAGGAGGCATTCAGTGACCCGTGTGTAATGGCCAGAAACATGATTGAACACAGTTATGACTCTAGCTCAGCATGTCTGTGGACAAAGTCTCTCAGTGTCAGCCGGCACTGATCTACTTCATCAGACTCCCAAGTTTTTCTGCAAAGAATCTCATTGTGTATTTTTCAGCATAGTCTTTCCTGAACTTATCAGAGGCAGGATGTGGGGCAAAAGTCCTTAATATTGACCTCGACAGACTGGGATCGTTAAATAATTTATTGGGCTATAGAGTGATTGATTTCAATGAGTCTCTAGGTTTTTTTAAACCAATTAATTCCACTCAATGCAGCCCATAAGAGCCTGGAAACCTGATCATCTTGATGGTGTTGAATAAAACATTCGAAAGGCACAAAAACTACATAGTTCCACTGAAATTACTGTGGCCAGTAACAAGAGCTGTGCAAATGGCTTGACTTGGCTCTCAGTTGTTTTTGTTGTGATCAGTGGCGCCTTCTTTTCTCCTGAGAGACGGCTCATTCATGTGAAACAGCAGCCATGCAGTGTTAGAAGTGAGAGAGATGTTGGGACCTACGTTGAGTTCTGCGGGCTTCCAGAAAAGTTGGGCGGCAGCAGCAACAACAACAACAACAATAACAACAGAGCACATCATATACCAGCACACAACACCATATCAAATACCTAGCACTCCTGGCACTGTTCAAAATGGGGACGTGGGACCCCGAAAGACGACAACATGCTGTGCCACAAAAGTAAAACCCAAACCCCAACAGAGGAACAGTTAAAGCAAGTGATGGAAAAACGCAAACCTCACTTATCCAAATACACCAAATAATCACCCGCGCTGATTATTTTTGACATTTTCAATGCTTTTCCATCACCATAGTTTCCAGTCATGAGTAAAAAAATTTGTTATTTTCCCCCAGAAATGATTAAGAACAAAAATAATGTAATGCATCGCTTTAAATGGAAACTAATGGTTAAAAGCATTACGTAATCCTTTTTTCTACATGAGTATATTATGGTGTTACATACTATCCATTACTACAGTGCCAGTAAAACCAATAAAAAAAGACGATGAAAGAACCAGTTGTTGATCAAGTAGACATTTAAACTGTACATTTACATACGAAATATAAGTACAGTATATGACTGCATATCTAAAAACAATAGCACTGTGAATAAAAGAGAACAAATAAAAACTTTGTATTTGGATACTTATGTGATCAGGCAATAGATGGGGTTTGCTTTATTCCACCCTGAAAACATGCAGCAGGCGACAAACTAATTAAAACAAGCAACATCAGACCACTGATAAAAGGAATTTTTACTATCTTCCATTTTGTCAAACACCATATTTAAATGTTTCCATGGAGGAATTTTCTCCACAGCAATTCAAGCCAATATTTCAGATTTTACCCAAGACTGATCTCCATTTATCTGTGGTTCAAGGTTTAAAATAGCTGTGAGTACTCACGTGTTTGGACAAGTCGGGGCTTTTGGAGTCAACATCATACCTGAAAGGAAGCAAAATGAAAACAAAAGCCTTACTTTATACATTTGACCGATATGACATTGCAGGAAGGTTTTCGAACGAAAATCTTTCTATCTTTTTGTTTATCAAGTTGAAGAAAAGGAAGGAAGCAGGAGATAGTCATTATAATTGGTGCAGTGCATGGATTACAAAGAAATAAAGCACAGGGAAAGAGCTAAAAGAAAACGATATAAGGTGAGACTTAAATGTGCTGCACTGAAAACTGCAGCGTTTAGTGGGGTGAGCAGAGGTGGGTAGTAACGAGTTACATTTACTCCGTTACATTTACTTGAGTAAGTTTTTGAAAAAAAATGTACTTTTAAAGTACCTTTTTTGCACAATACTTTTTACTTTTACTTGAGTACATTTGTGAAGAAGAAACGGTACTTTTACTCCGCTACATTTGCAAAATTCAACTCGTAACAAATTAGTTTAACACATTAGATAACATGCCGCCAGTGGAGTTTCCGGTAACTTTTTTACCAATCAGATGTGGCCATGCAGTCACATGACCAGTTTGAAACTGTGGCGGGCAGAGCGGCCCAAGAGTTTCAAAGTAGCGGACACACAGAAAGAAGAAACATGAAAACATGACAGAGCCAGTTGTCTACGCTAGAGCTGAAGAGGATGAAGAGCATTTTCCTCACATACAAAGAATGTTCCGCTTAAAAGCAGTACAAAAGAACAGCTATGTCTTCAGTGTCGGTGTCTTCAGTGAGAGCCAAAACAAACCAACTTTTCAGCATGAAAAAACTCAGCTCGTGTAACCTGAGGAAACGTTAAGTTTTCTTCAAATATCTTTTTAGCTGTGGTTAGCTGGATGTCAGTCTTATGTTACAGCAGCTGTGTCGAGCTGCGAGTCATATTTTCGGCGCTACGTTGTAGTGAGATAAGTTTGTGGGTGTTTTGTGCAGCTTCGGCTGTCCTTTTAACTGCTCGCTGGTTAGCCAGTGTGAGCTATAAGCTAACAGCTAGCCTGGTTAATGACGCTGGAGTTCCACGCACATGCAAACAGCTCGTCTCTACTGCTTTGGCTGTTAAAACAGAAGGCAATACTGCGGCTGACAGGGTTTATTATGTGAAAAAGCAGCTTGTTTAGTTTAAACAGTCTGCATTAAGCTGGGCAAACACTGCAATTTTTTCCAGTCGCGTTATTCAGCTCCTCCTCAAACTGTACAATTGAATTGCAGAGGTTAGAAGTTCATAGGTCACGATGCAGGGTCTCACACTATACGGCCTGATGCTCTGATGCGACCTGAGTGCTCAAACTGTGCGTCCATAACATGAAGCTTATCATACAAAATCTGTCTTTCGCTCTCCCTCTCTCTGTCTTACAGACACACACCACCACCACCATCAACTTTGCTAAATTACTAATGGAAAACATTGACCAGGCAGACTGAGCAGCAATGTCCATCCAACTCTTTTCTTGGTTGTTGTAGTCGTCACAATTTTGTGAGGCCACATTGAAAAGCCTCGGATACCGTAGCGTAATACGGAAGTGTAGAGCTGCCACCCAGCCAAAAGAAAAATAGAAAAGTATATTGTTCTAATAATATACTATTGTTAGAACAATATACTATCATGTTAGTACAATATACCTTTCATGTTTGAACAATATCACGTTATTACAATATACATAATTATCACGTTCGTACAATATAAATATTATATAGGCTACATCGCAGCTCCAGTCACGGCTTCCATCACCGTCTTTCTCGTCTTTTCCCAGAGTAACAGCCAAACAGGAGGATCTATTGGCTAGCACTGCTTAGCCTTGCACGCATTCTTATTTTAAACCTAATCTGGAATTCATTGCAAACTGTTTGTGCGGGATATGAATGACAGGATTTTGTTTTTCTACAAGGGTTAATACAAAACATCTCCAGTGTGATCAAATCTTCTTGCCAAACATCTGCAGCTTGGCAGTGTATACAGCACTATAATGACAAGAGCTAATTCTTTTGAAAACCATACATCTTTCCATAGGTCTCAACTTCATCAGACATCATCTAGACTCAGAGCTGGATGAGGCCAGCACAAACAGCAGCCTAACCGACTAAGATGATGGATCCATGGGGTCAGGAAAGCCAGAAGCAGGGCTGGAGAGGTACCTTTCATGTCCATTCACTGGAGGTGTGGATCTATTGCATGGCGTTCCTCACATCAAGAAGCTGTCGATCAAAATCAATACAGCTCTTCATGCATCTGGAGCTTGTGAAGGACTTCTTAGTCATGCAGGACTCCTGTTCACTGCTAGACAGTTACAGCTTCACAGAAAGAACCTTGAGAGCAAACTGCTGCTGAAGCTTAACCATCACTTCACTGAGTGAAGAAATGGCACATTTTTGCTAAATATGCAGAAATAAATGCACACCCATGCAATTTATGGTAAACTGAGCTGCCTTGTATGAACATATGATGAAAATGCCTCGCTCTAATGTTTTCTCTGAGGCTGCTGTGCCATTTGGAGCAAAAATGAAGATAAAGTTTACAGCATATCTTGTCACTGGAAATTGTTTGCACTGTTTATGTTTATATCATTTACACTAGGTATTGGTGAAAAAAGCTTGATGTTGTAAAAAACTGAAATCTGGAATTTTTTTTGTTGATCTTTTTACATATATTCCTGTTGAAAATACTAAAATTTGTATATTTATTTATTTTTGTTTGTCTGATAGCATTTATTTATAAAATAAATCAGACATTTCAAACAGTTACTCGCTACTTGAGTAGTCTTTTCACCAAGTCGTTTTTTACTCTTACTTGAGTAACATTTTTGAAGACTACTTTTCACTTTTACTTGAGTAATAATATTTTAAAGTAATGCTACTCTTACTTGAGTACAATTTTTGGATACTCGACCCACCTCTGGAGGTGAGTGAGCATCAAGAGAGAAGACAAACAAAGTTACGTGTGAAATCAGAATGAGGAGAGATGAAAAGAACCGAGATCTTAGTGTCATTTCAGATGTTGTTATTTGTTGTGCTGAGTAACTGGAAAGGGGTTTGACTACAGACAATAAGACCTGAGTGGTGGACCTGATCTGATTTGCATGTGAATATAAAGCAATAAAAGGGAAAAGGGACATATGTGATGTCCCAGGATTAAACGTGTGATGAAACAATGGATCCCGTTTGCCTGGAGATCAAATCAAATACAATTACTGAGTAATATGTTGAATAAACAGCGCGCAAGACTTTCTCTTGGTGAGCTGCACTGTCTTTGACAGCATAGGGTGGCACAGATTTAGAGCGTCAAAGAGATTTGACAGATTTGTTGTTTCAAATTTAAATCAATTTAAACCATAAAAGAGTTAAACAAACTGCATTAAAACCTGAGGAGGCATTCCTGGTGTCCAAATTACAAAAAGCATCTTTTTGGAATCTGACCCATCCAAAAACTTTAAGGTTAAAAGCAGATGTGATAATATTACCAAAGAAATCCATTATATTATCGTGTTCTTACATAGGTTTTTTTTTTTGTTTTTTTTAAATACATGTTTTGGGGGCTTATTAAGCAGATCAGATTTAGAAACACTTGTAAGATTAGATTTATGTTCATATTTAGGCTGGATCTCTCTTGTGGAAAAAATAACGTTAACAGTTGCTTCTGCCAGACCACTGCTCTCAATTAACATGTGCTTAAACCAAAATATGATCACTTTATCTTTATTAACAGTCTGCAGATGTTTAAGATTGCTGTCATTAAATCTCTAATTGAAAATCCTTGATTAAGGGCGTTTTGGCCAATTACAGCCAAATATCCATTACACCCTTTATATATGATTATTTTTACTCCTTTTATTCATTATTTTTATTAGATTAGCATGCAATAATGGTTCCATTTTTAGGAGTTTCATTCAGCATTCAGAGAGCATGATAACTCAGAGACAAGCATGGGTAAAAAGCATCAACCATCTTCTCATATTCTCACACAATGGACTCCTCTCTATAGCTATCACGCTGGATCTCGGTGTTGCATTTGACACCACTGATCATATCGTGCTTTGACTCAAAAGACGAGCACTGTGCTGGTCATATTTATCAGATGTTGAAAGTCTTCCAAAAGTCATATAAGAGGTTCAATGTCGTGTGCTGGTTGACAATGCATATATTTCTATTGGCAATTGGTGATCTCAATGTTTTGGGCCCTAAAAACATGGCATTAACTTGGCCTCTAGCACTGCTGATTCCATTTAGTCATTTTTGACTAGAATATCTCCTTTAACTCATGCATTTAAAGTCATCTGTAGCAATACAGATGAGCCGTCCAGCATTATTAACATTACAAACATGCCTTCTTAGAATGATGCTGAAAACGATCCCATTCATTAGTTACTTCTGGGACCAGCAGTTGTAATTCTTTATTATCAGGATATAGCTCCCGGAAAGCTTCTACAATATGTTGCTCTGAAGATATTAAGTAGCAAGAGAGATCCCATTTCTATATTGCTATAGGCTCAGGCTGCTGCTGGACCTCCCATCAAGCACGGAGCACGTCTCTTATCTCATTTCTTCCTCTATGCATTCATGTAGCCTTGTTCGTGTCATAAATTGTGTTTCTTTCCTCTTCATTAAGTTGTGCATTTTCCTCTCTGGCCTTTCTCTCTCTGAAAGTCTTGCAAACATCTCCAAGTCTGCATGACCCTGATCTGAGGTTGCTTTTCTTTTCTTTCTTTGCTTCCCCCTCACCCCAGTAGGTCTAGACAGACATCATCTATAGCAGGTTCCTTCCTGGGGTTTTTTTCTCACCACAGTCAGGGTGTTCCTCAAAGAGAATTGCTGCTTTTGTCTTGTTTTTTTGAATTGTAGGGGTTACCTTATGATGTATATGACAAATGCTGAGATTACATTTGTTATGCACTGGTGTAAATAAATGCAGTTATCTAAATAAAACAAACAACATGCCATTTCAGAGCAATGTTTAGATCCCCATCCATATTTTGGCATGGTGAGAGAGGTCAGTCTTGTTGTGCATAGTTAGGGTTGTTAAATGTTCTGGTCAGGTATGGCAGATGGTCAGTTTCTTAAGTTAACTGAACGGTGTAGGCAGATGGTGCAGAAAAGGAAGTGAAATAATGAAAACTAAACATCACTCACAAGTCAAAGCGAAGGTTCTGCTTCTCCTCAAAAAAGTAGTCCAAGATGTACTTTCT